TTTTTTTTTTTTTTATTTTTATTTTTATTTTTTTTTTTTTAGTTAGCAGTTTTTTAAGTAGTAGTTTCACGGATAAAATTATCTATTTTGCCATTTATGAAAGAGTGCAATCAAGCTAATGTTTACAACAGAGAAGAGAAATAGCTCCTTTATTCTCAAATTTTTATTTTATGATTATATTCTCAGTACATGTTAATAAGTTCTAAGTACTTTACTATGTCTGAAAAATTTCTCATGGATTCAGAAATTGGTATAATATCTACTCTCAGGTTAATAACATAAATGAAGGAAATTACTTGTTGACTAGTAAGATAAACAGACAAGTATTGTCTTGAAATTTTTCTTTGCAATGGACAGATAATTTTGTTGTTCAGAATATACCAGGGTTTTGAAATAATTCCTAAGAACCACCTAGTGATCTTGTTACAATGTAGATTGATTTATTCTGTCTGGTGGAAAGCGAGTGCGTTTGAATGCTCAGTAATGTACACAGAAAAGATAAATCATTTATTTCTTAAGGTGTAATTCAGTGCCAGTGATGACATTCTCTGAATTGTTCAGCCATTCTCACTCTGGGGTCCTGAGTTATTTCTCTCTCCGATGGTTCCTGTCTAATCTTTGGAGTTGATGCCATATACATTGTTTTTAAAAGAACATAATGCTCCAGACAGACCTTTTAAAACTAGTTTAGTTAAACTGTTGTGTGGTCCTAAGAAGACTTCAAGGCATATGTTTGGCTTAAATTGTAAAGATTGTCTCAGTACAATAGGGGGTTCATCTAGCCCCTATGGTTGTATTATGAGAATTTGGCATTCTGTTCTACATTTCCCTGTTTTTGATCAGGATTGTTATGTGGAATATTTGATAAAAATGTTTAGTGATAGTAGCTGGGCACCACCCAGTTCTTCTGGTCTCCTGCAAAAGAGGCAGTTCATGGCAGCAATTAGCTGCACACTCCATATCCTCTTCCTCATCCTGACGCTCTTCTTGTTTGGCTCCAGGAAAATAGAGACTTAATTGTCATGTCTTAGATGGTTGTTGCAAACTTTAAGGACCCCAGGTACTAAGCAATGAAGTCAATAGAGGCAGTACACAAACTTGTTAGTAAGCCAATTAACTGATGCCCATGAAGTTCTGGACTGTTGATAAGCAGTCTCACTGGGTTTTTCTTTCTTTGTTTTTGTTTTTGACGTTTTTCTAAATATATCTAACCATGCGGTTTTTGCAAATTTGGCTTTTTATGGTTGTAAATTTACTGAGTGGAGCCCCCTGGTGTAGTGGGGTTGTGTGTTGGGCTGCTAACCACAGGGTCAGCAGTTTCAGTGTGCCAGCAATCCCATAGGAGAACAAGACTAGGCTTCCTACTCCCACAAACAGTTACAGCCTTGGAAACCTGCAGTTCTAGTCTTGCCTACAGGGTCACTAGGAGTTGGAATTGACTTGATGGCACTCAGGAGGTGGGGAAGCTTATTGACGTGAGTTACAGTGATCAGCATGCAACTGTACTCTTCACCTGTGTGATTGTTCTATCATTGGTAACCACTTCCCTTTTGCCCCTGGTAACCACCGATAAACTTTGGCCTCTACGTTTGCCTTTTCTTGTGTTTTTATGTACATGAGGCCATACAACTTTTGTCCTTTTGTGACTGATTGATTTCACTTAGCATAATGCCTTCAGATTCCAGTCATAGTATAGCTTTGTGACAAATATATACATTTGTGTCAAAGAAAAAAATTTTAGATGTAACATTTACTTACAGCATAAAGCAGAGAAACTTTTTTAAATCTTAAAATTTGAAATTATAAATTAATATTCTTACAATTATCCTTTTAACTTGTAGGATCACATTCCTGAAAAATATATCTACTCATTTTTAATATGTGAACTGTATTTTATACATTTAATGAGTATTTTACTACAGTAAATATCTAAAATTAGTATTATCAAGATGGAAGATATATATGAATGTGGGTGTATTGCAACCTGGGTCCAAATGTTTGCTCAAATCTGATTTGACAAGCCTAATTAAAGTATTGCTAAATGTATTGATTGACTGTAAAATAATTGAATTCATAATTCAAATAGAATATTTTGCTTTGAGTGATGTTAATTGACTAGACTATAACCTAATTGTGTTACTATTGACTTTCTCTCAAAATTCATTGCCATCGACTGGATGTCAACTCATAGTGACCCCGTAAGACAGGGTACAACTGCTCCTGTGCATTTCTGAAACTAACTCTTTACAGAGTAGAAAGCCCCATCTTCCTCTGGAGGAGCAGCTGGCGGTTTCAAACTGTTGGTCTTCTGGATCACAGCCCAATTCGTAACCATTTTGACACCAGGGCTCCTTACTGTTGGCTAGTCATGTTTAATCATTATATTTCAGTACAGGCTATATCTTGGAATGTTAGAGCTACTAGAAGAGGTTAAATCATTCCATTTAGCCTCTTCATTTTACAGATGAAGTCAGAAAAGTTGCAACTTGTACAAGGCCAGCGAACTCGTTATTGGAAGAACTGGGATTAAGACCTTAACATGCACTTACAATGAGTGTGTTGACTCTACAGTCACCATTGCTGCCTCTTCCCTCTCTGTGTTGTCTCTGTCTTACCTGAAACAGCCCTAGCATGCTTGAGAATAGGCAAGGAAATCAGCTGAGCCTGCTCAGATCTGTGGGTGAAGCCACCTATTTCTGTGTGAGCCATATGTAGAAGTCTGCAGGTCTTTTCTCCTGGGTGCTGGCAGGCGTGGTCCAGAAATGTAAGAGGGGAAAAGCTAGTGCCCTGTCAGCCACAGGAGGTACTATTCTTGTCCTTAGAACCTCCTCTTCAGTTTTTCCAGACAAAATGCTAAGCAAACATTGGAGCCCTTTGTTTTATTGTAAATCAAGTAGATATCAAATATGGAGGTCAGCAGTTTTCATTGATGAAGCATACACAATGTGGGGAAGATAAAGTCTTGGAATGAGGAGCCCTTTTCTGTTTTGCTTGTTAACATCTCTTTAGTCTTCTGAAGGCCCATTCATTCAACATGCTCACTTACCTTCTTGGGAAGGTACGTTCCCTGTGCCAGGTCCCTGTTAAAATGCTGCCGGAGGCTTTTTTCTGTTTAGTCTTTGCCTGCTCTGAAAGGCCAGGCTGTGGTTCTGGCAGTGAGATAGAGTTGTAAATTATTTTGGTTTATTTTCTCTACAGAAGACAGCATATAGATATCCTGTGTAAACGTTGATTATCATAGTAGTGATTAATTTGATCCTAAAGCTGACACTATTTTTGTACTAATAGGTTTTAAAAATAATTTTGAGCTTGCTCAAAATATATTTACTCTTCTCTGGACATTTGCAAAGAATAGGTTTGTCTGAGCCCTTCTAGAAGGTAGACCTGTACTCCAAGTAAAGGCTTTCTGTCTCCTAATATGAGAGGTTGGGGAGTGTGGAGTGCAATTTTTCCGTAGTCCACTGTCTGGGCCACACACATGATGCTAGGCGCTTCCAAAGATGACATAGTCTAGCCTCACACAGCCTACTTAGCACAGATAAAATGTTGAGTAAGAGACGCCTAGCCCCTCGTGGAAGTGGCTCTCCTTTGAGAGCAAAAAAATAGCTGTCATAATAGGCCAAACCATTTTACAGTTAATCTTCTATTCTCTATCTTTAACACCTTCTCCACTGAGTCTTCTTTTCCCTTAGCTTGAAAATATGTTTAGTTTTTCTTATTTAAAAGCATAAAAAAGCCTTCCCTGATATTTGGTTCCCCCTTCCAAATGATTGCCTTTTCTTCTAAAGTTAATGATGGAGTGGATTATTATAGCCTTTTGATTCTGATCACTCATTTCTAAACTAATTTAGAGTATTCTACATATTCTAAATGCCCCAGAGACAGGCAGTCTGACCTGTCTCATGAAATGACTCTTTTGAAAACAGCCTAATCATTTCTAATTTTCTCATTTCCTGTCATGTTTTGTTTCATTTTACATTGAGCCATCATCTCTCTTCCTCGCCTCACTTGCCTTGTCCTTCTGTCTTCCAGAGACTTTGACACAATGTACTCTGTTTTTCATTCTGGCTTTTTATCCCTACTACTTCCCTTGTCTAGATAACCCCCCCACAAACACTCCTCATTTCTTCAGTTACTACTCTAGGTCTACGGTTTTCAAATGTGCTATGTAAAGTACCAGTCAAATTAATTATTAAGTCTTATATCTCTGCTCTGACTTCTTTCTTGACCATTAACCTCACGTTTTTCAGTATTTGCCTAAGTTAACTTAATCCTTTCTACTCTGTTCTTAGTTGTTTTGTTCAGCTCTTCATTAATTTCCCCAGCTATTCCCAAAGCCAATTTTCCCTCTAAATCCAACTTTGGACTTCTGGACTGCTCTTGTTGAAGCACGACCCCTGCTCTGAAACCTTCTCTTGACTTCCTATTGTATAGAGAACAAAGTCCCTATGTCATCACTCAAAAGGCCTTTCAGGATCTGACCCACAGTTTAGTTTTCCAACTTGATTTCTTACCATTTCCTTTCACTTTATCCTAGATGTATATTTCTCTCCACTCATTGAAAGCTCTCGGTTAATACATTGAAAGTTTATCATAGGTTTTGTGTGTGTGCCTAAAACATATGGCTCTGTAATTTGAAGATGGTAGCATCCTGAAATAAGCCATTATGTATATACAGGGGCCTTGAGGAAGTTTATGGGAAAATGGATTGAAAAGATAATGGAATTTTCCCACAAACTTTTTGAAGTTCCTCGTATGATTTCTTTTAGAAACTGGGCAATAGATTGCTATTCAGTACTTCTTCTTTTTCAGTACATTTCTTTTTAAATGTACAAAAATGTATAATAAGGCTTTTTAAAGGGGAAATTAGCATCTGAATGGTACTCTGGTTATTTTTAATTAAGTTATATCAAGTGCCCAGTCATTTATCTCAGAATTTTTTTTTTCTTACGAATTTTTAAAATTTCCGTTTAACTGACCATTATGTTTAATTTCAGGCTCTTGATGGTTTTTTTTTAGCAATCATGACAGATGGAAGCATAATCTATGTGTCTGAGAGTGTAACTTCATTACTTGAACATTTACCAGTAAGTATAAAAATCCTCTGATCTCTGTATGTCCTGCCTGTCTCAAACTGGGTAAAGGCCAGGAAGTGGCAGTCCAGAGCGGTGCAGGGCAAAGAGCTCTCAGGGCTCCTTATCTTCTCTCCGTCAGTCATGACTCCTAGTTGTCAGTATCATTTAACATTTGGCCACCACTCTCTCTAACCTCTGTTTACCCTGCTGCTTTATTCTGATGCTGTGCTCTCAGTGGTTCCATTTTAATCAGCTCGATGAAGCTCTTGCAAAGCCACTGAGAATAAGTTTCTGCTGAGTTACTTGTTGCTGTTTTGGATCAGCAGAAATAATTTTCCCAAAAGAATTACTTTTAAAATGAGTACAGAACTTTTATACACTGTTAATGCAATAATGGCCACATTCACTTCATGATAATATGCAGGAAAATGTAGGGAATTAGAAAAGAAATGTAATTGTGTGTTTACTCTTGTATTCAACTTGCGTTTGTGGAACCGGTACTCTGCCACAGCATCACTGTGCATGGTGCTCAGTACCCCCCCCACACACACACACACACACACACACACCCTGACTCAGTGCCTTTGTCCTTAACACACACCCCCACACACACACACCCTCCCAGAGCCCTGAGCCCTGGGTGACCTAGTGGGCTGTGCATTGGGCGCTCACCACCACAGGTGGAGACCCACAGGGCAGTTCTACTCCGTCCTGCAGGGTGTCTCCTCTCTGAGTCTGCCGGGACTCCATGGCAGGGAGTGTCGGGTTTTGTGTGGTTCTTATCTCTCAAAATGGGGCTTTTGGTAGAAATAGTCTAAACGCTCAGCCCTTCAAAGTATGTAGCAATGCAAAGTAAACTGCTTTGGAAGAGTGTAAAAAATCCGTCTTCTCCTTCTGATTACTCTGCTGCTTCCTACAGTATAAAGAGAATGCACTTCTCATTTAGAAGGCCAGACCCTTTCTTAACTGAAAACTAGGCGGTAAGTCATTTGCAAAGTTGTGAGGGTGAGGAGAGGTCACAGAGAAAATTATTTGACCTCAGGATTTGCCTAGGCATGTAAGTCAAAATGCCTTGTATGAAAACAATAAAAATTTATAATTTATCAAGGGGTCACAAGGGTGGGAGGGGGTGGGGGGAGAGAAGGCAAAAAGGGGAGCTGATACCAAGGGCTTAAATAGAAAGTAAATGTTTAGAAAATGATGATGGCAACATATGTGCAAATATGCTTGATACAACTGACGTATGGAATGTTACAAAAGCTGTAAGAGCCTCAATAAAATGATCTTTTAATTTAAAAAATTACCTTATGAAAGCTCAGATTTTATTTTTAAATTATTGTGTGACATTAATCTTGATTTTTCTCAGCATTGTTTTTATTTTGGAATACTGCCTGTGGCAAGCATTCAAAATATTCTAGGAGATTTTAAAAGTTTGTGAGAAAATCTCATTTTTTCGTTCCAATTTTTTACCAACTTTTGAAGCCCCCTCATACTTGTTGAGGAGTGAGTAATAACTTTAAATGTGACATTGTCATGTCTAGTAAATGGAATAATGGAGGACATTTGCAAAATATGTTGAGAGTAAAGAATGAGATTCTAGTGACATGAGAGTTAACTGGCTTAGGCAGAGAATAGGACGGACCATATTTGCACATATGTTACCATCATTTATCTGAATGCTGTGGGTATCCGCACTGTCCATTATTTTACCTCTTGTTTCTAATATTCACTACGTTGGCTTCATAAAACTCAAACAAAATCCATAACTAAAGGACTTATTAAGGAACTTAATACTTTGTAAAGCCAGTGAGAAATGCTCAGGGTTGAGTGTTTTATCAGGACATGTCTGGTATGTCTACTAACAAATACTCAAAGGTCATACCACTCTGCTATAAGCTTCAACCCAAAGGCATTCAATTTAAGCTTAAGCTAGGTGGGTAGTCAACCCAGCTCCCTGAATTCAGTTCTCCAGAAAGCCTCAGCCTGAATCAAGGCACTCAGCTCCACTTCTGTGGGTCAGCAAGTCCAACTTTCCCAATTAAGTGCCCAGAAGCACCGCACTCCACAAGCCAGCCTCCTGTGTGAAGGCATTCATCTTTACTTGCTCCATGGATTAAGAAGTCCATCACTCTTTATTCCCATGCTCTGACTTCTGATTCTGCTGCTGCTCCTCTGATTGTATAGCTGTCTTTTGGATCCAGGAGATGCCCTGTGCAGGGATCTTGGGTCCAGAAGACTCACTCCACTCCTGACTTGCAGGTAGTAAGATCCCTCGTCCTTCTTCTCAGAGGGCTCATTTTATACACGTCAAGATGCCACTCCAAGGAATCCTGTTCAGTTACTCAGCGGTGAATCCAGCCAGTATCTTCCCCACGTTTTTACTAGACTCATGCAGAGAAAAGTCGTTTGGTGGGAGTCAAAAGATTTTGACTAGAAAAACCACATTAAATAATTCACTTCTCGTACAGTTTCATATTGTTACATATTAATAATATTTATTATAATTTATGTGGTATGTATTATATAACAAGTAACATTTTCTTGTCTGTATTATAATATTTAAACAGAACATGAATTATTTTCAAGTTCACAATATTTACCAAGATAAATGATACTCTGAGCTAAATGAGTCAGTAAATTTAATATGATTCTGGTCACATAAGTATGTCCTCTGTACATAGTGGACTTTAATTAGAAACGAATAATAACACGAATATATGGAAAGTCCCCAAATATTTGGAAGCCAAGTGGTAATTCTACATAAAAAGAGTATTTTGAATTGAATGAAAATTTTTAAACATTATAAAAAATTGTGGAATGCTATTAAAAAAGTAAATGTCAAGCACTACTTATATTAGATAATAAGATCTTAAATTTATTACCTAAGTTTCCACCTCAAGAACATATGAAAATATCAATTAAAAAATGCATGAGAAAGGAAAATAATAAAGCCAAAATCGATGAAGAGAAAACATAAAACAACATAGAAAATCACTGAAACCAAAAACTTTTTCTCTTCAGGTCAATGAAATGGGTAGATCTTTAGCCAGGCTGATCTGGAATAAAACACAGAGGGCATAGACTGCACATAAACTATAAATAAGAAAGATGATCTCATTATAAGTTCTACATTAAAAGGATCACAAGTTAATGTTATGAGCAACTTTATTCTAGTGAATTTGACAACTTGTGTGATCAAGACTAATTCCTTGAAAGACACAAACTACTGAAGCTAACTCCACAAGAAAGTATTGTTGTCAGGTGCCTTTGAATCTGTTCCCACTCATAGTGATCCTGTGTACAACAGGAGGAACCCTTGCATGGTCCTATTTCATCAGCAAAGTCATTGTTATGTTTAAACAGTTGTTAAAACCACCATAGGCCACTAAGCCTGACATTCTCCAGGATTGGTCCCCCACCAAACAACATGGCCACAGTACTTAAGACAAAGCCTTGCCCTCATTGCTTCTAAGGAGCATTCTGCTTACACTTCAAAGACGGTTTTGTTCATTTTTCTGGCAATCAATGGTATATTCAGTATTCCTAATCAACCTTAAAATTCAGAGGCTTCAATTCTTTAATTTCCCTTGTTTATTGCCCAACGTTAGCCTGTATATGTGGCAGCTGAAATACTATGGTTTGGACCAGCTTCACCCTAGTCTTTAAAGTGACCTCACTGTTATTTAACACTTGTTAAAGAGATCTTTTGCAACACATTTGCACAATGCAGTTCCTCATTTGATTTCATAACTGCTGCTTCCATGGTGGTTGATTGTGGATCCAAGTGTACCCAAATCCTTTACCATTCCAGGATTTTTCCATTTATCCAGTTGTAAAGGTTTTTGTTTTACATAGAGGTGTAATCTGCACTGGACACTGTAGTCTTTGATGTAAGTAAGTGCTTTAAGTTCTTTTTGCTTTTATTTAGCAAAGCAAAATTATTTCATCTTTATATTCCAGGTTAGTAGTGAGCCTTCCACAAATCTGATCTCTCATTCTTCTTCATATAGTCCAGCTTCTCATGTTATTTACCCATCATACAGATTAAATAAGTATGATGATAGTTTATAACCCTGATGTATACCTTTCCTGGTTTGCTGCTTGTACTATAGTTTTCACATGAGCACTATTAGTTGTTCTGAAATTCCCTTCTTAGTGTTAACCCTAATTTGTTATAATCAACTATGCTTTTGCATAGCCAAGAAGAAATAGATAAGCTGAATACAGTCTTACGTGTAATAGAAAATTTCAATTTTGGCTAAAATTCCCACAAAGAAAACTCTTGGCCCAGACAACTATACTGGTAAATTCGACCATACATTTATTGAAGAAGCAATATCAGTTCTACAAGGACTCTTACAGAAAATTGTAGCATGAAGGAGATTTTTTTCAGTTTATTCTATAAGATTAGCATACCAAAACCAGTTCAAGACACTATTAGAAAACTTCAGACCAACAACTATCCCTGGTGTTATTAATAGAATTGTTTCCTTCAAAAAATTGTATTGAAATTTTATTTCCTGTACTTGTGGCACTGTGGGTTAGGGATTGGGTTGCTAGCCTTAAGGTCAGTGGTTCAAACCCACTTGCTGATCTATGACACTATCTGCTGCCATAAAAGGTTTTTACAGTTAGAAACTTTAGATAGGGTTGCTGTGGGTTGGAATCAATTCAGGGCCATTGGGTTGGCTTTTTGGTGACTTGTAAATATGACTCTATTTGTAATACAGGTTTCGTTAATGTTAATGAGGTCATGCTGTCGAATGATCCCTAAATTTAATAATGTAATGACTTCTAAGAGATGCCTGATGAAAAGAATAGATTAAACACACACACACACACACACACACACACACACACACGGAACCAACCATGTGAAGAACCATCTAGAGTTTAAGAAATGTCAAGACACGATCGCTGAAGACAAATGTGTGCATAAGCAAATGTGGTGAAGAAAGCTGATGGTGCCCGGCTATCAAAAGATATAGCGTCTGGGGTCTTAAAGGCTTGCA